TTATATTTTTCACTCTGTGGTGATGGTTATTTGGTGCATGAAGTGGGGCAGAGTAGAGAGCCCAAGCGTTCACTGGTTTGGAGAAAGGGAATAGAGCAAGAAGCTCTGAGGTTAATTAATTAATTAAAACTGGGTGAGCACCTGAGTGGCTCTTTTTTCTGACTGTCAGCTGAGTCAGTGAAACACAGAGACGCTACTGGTAAGTATTTCTGAGGTTTTCAACCTGCTTAACTTTCAACAAAGTGCGACAAAACTCAATAAAAGAAAGGACTAAGTTGAGCTGAGTGGATTGATGCGTCCTCTGTGCGAAGCCTGGTCGATTCAGGCAGACAAAACCCAGAGATAACTCCACACCCAGTAAACTTGCCCCAAAAGCTACACTGTGGCTTAAAGATCTCATGCTTCACTTGGACCTGGAGAAATGTAAATATGATCTGAGGGGGGCACCTGGAAATTTTTATTCAGTTTGGGGCTGCATGATTAGCTACATACAGTAGCTAGTATGAAGACACTGCAGGACGGGTGAGGCGTCCACTTTTGAAAACTGACTTTTGATTGCATTTTCTTTTCCTCCCTGCTTCATCTCGGCCCATTGAAAATGTTACTTCTCAGTTTTGTTTAGTGGTGTTTTCTGTTTATTTATTTGTGTTGTACTTGCTGCTTTCTCTTTTTTAATTGTCTATATACTTTTTTATTTTATTTTATTTTTTTATTATTCACATGTTCTTGTACGGTAAGAAGGAAGGATGTGTGTTATTACTGATTTGTAGCATAATCTCATAGGATTGGGGAGGGCTGGGGAAGGGAGGGAATGAGGGGTTGTTGTTTTTCTAAAAATAAAAAAATAAAAATCCTTATTTTCATTATTTTCATTGTTTGTACTTGACCTTGTCACATGAATAAAAACATGAATAAAAAAATAAAATAAAACGTACTGGTGCCTGGAGCGTCGGTGGGGAAAATGGGGTTCTTGCCGTCATCTGTTGTGTAATCTGAAAGACGGAGAGGTAAACGGTTTAAACCACCGGAGGCGGGGTGAGGTGGGTGGGGGTGTGTGTGTGTGGGGGGGGGGGTGGGGGGGGGGGGGTATGGGTGTGGGGGGGTGGTTACACTGGCGGTGGCGGCAGATGAAGCCTCTCTTCTGTAGGCAGTTGTTGTCGTTCCAGCGGCCGTCGGCGTACATCTCCACACAGCTCTCCTCCGCCACGTCCCCGGGGTGGAAGGCGGCGTTGGGCTCCCCGGGGGCCCAGTTCAGGAACCCCAGGGGGGTCTTGTCCGTCCAGCCCCAGCCGACTGGGGGAGCAAACGGCCCTTTTAACTCATTGGCTGCCAAAGACGTCTATAGACGTCTTTTATGTTTTTCAACGAGAGTGGCTGGGGGACGATCTGCTAAAGCTTGTCCGTAAATATCAGGCTTCTAGACAGAGTATGTA